TTTGATTTCTTATTTTGAAAACAAATTTCATTTTTCAAATTTAAAAAATCTTATTTGACAATTTATTTTTAGTTAATTGTTTTTTTAAAAAAAACAATAACCTGTTTTCAAAATTAAAAAGCCTTTCCTTCTCACCTCTCACTACCAGTCAGAACCACCAGTCCACCACCTGCCAAGTATGATTTTATAATTTTTTTCCAAATGTTCTTTTTAAATTATTGTCCAAACAATTTTTTTCCTTTTTTGTTCTAAAACTTGTTTTCAGAAATAATTTTATAAATTTGTCTTGTAAACAAGAAAACAAAGAACAAAAACAACAAAACAAACAAACTCTTAGCTTTCCCTTAATATCATTAGTAACCTGCACCGTTTCTTCTGCAACTTTAAACATAGACGAACAACCCAAGCGACATCTCAATGACGAAATGGCAATTTGCAGAATTCTCTCCAAGTCGTTCGCTGAATTCCCAAGGATGCAAGTACCAACCATACCATATCATCAACAAATCAATACTAACCCATGACATTGTCGTGAAGCACAGGGCACAAGTTCCAAATTTTCAAAAACATGGGAACCAAATGTTTAATTTTCCCTCTATTTTTTTTTTTTAAAAATCCTTTTTGGCTTTGGTTCTCAATTAGTCAACAAACCCAGAACGATAGAGAAATTATGCAAAATGAATACAACTAACTAGTTATAAAGCAAACAAAACCGAATATCAAAATTAAAAACGGGAGAAAGAGTGGAGTTCCATCACATAAATCTCAATAGTTCCACTGAAGGTAAAATATGCTAAGTAATTTGACATGAAATTGGCTGCAAAAAACATAAGAACCGCAATAGTTTCACTGAGGTAAAACATGCTAAGCAACAAGCGTGCTGGCAGTTGTGGACTCGCTGCAAAAAAATAGAACCGAATAAGTATATCAACTAAATAAACAGAATCTGCTTTCAAAGGTGTACCTTTTTTATAGCAAAAAAGAATTAGAGTAGATATATACAGATAGAGAGGCGGGATCAGGATTTTATGTTTCTTTAGTAATGGAGAGTACTGAAAAATTGACCTTTAACACCTCTATTTGAGGAAAAGAAAAACAGGGATTCCCAAAAAAAAAAAAAAAACCATGACAATGCATGTTTATAACCAAGCACTCTCGAACTATCTCTAAAGATTATGTAGATGGCGAGTGTTTAAACGGAATCTTCGCTGTTCAAAACTCATTAACACAGACAGAGATTATTAAAGAATTTCTGCTACTTTCTTCAAATACATATCAAAGTTCCCCCATCTGAAAGATTTTTGAAGTGAAAGTTTTCCCATGTGGGGAACAGAAAATATCATGGAAATAGCTCCCACCCTCTTATTTCTCATACGGATTCCTTACTTTACCATCTTTTGGCCTCCTGAATCCCAATCATATCACGACATTTGTTATATGAGGACCCCAAATCCCTAAATTCTTTATTGGCATATGAAAAAAAATATAATATCTTATCCACAAAATAAATCAGACATACATTACAATTATTTTCATATATACAGATGTTCAAACATGTTATGAATGAGTATCTACCAACAAGGGAAATCAAATTTTCCATTTGCCAAAATATTGCCTTAAGAAGGCAAAACGGTTCACCCTCCACTCCAGTCACATATGGTTAGTTGAGCTCAAGGACATATAATGAATGTCACAAAAAGGAGGATGAACATGTTTTCCAAAAGCTTCAAACAATGCACAGAACAGAACAAGCTTATTTATGTAACTCTGTAATGACTAACAAATTAATCAACCAAGCAAGCAAGTAGAATAAGATATTGATGTTCTGCATAAGATAAAGTTGCAGTACTTACTATTTCCATACAGGCGGAAGCTTCTTTGTTTTCTTATAGTATCGAGCAAGGCGATGAATCCTGCTCTCTACCAAAATTAACCTAAACTTGGAGTCTTTGTCCTTCCTATTCCTCTCCAAATGCTTACGAATTGAGACAGCCTTCTTGATGAGGTGGTAGAGATCCTCCGGTATTTCAGGAGCAAGACCTGAAAAGCAGGAAGAAAAATTATACTCACTGTCAAAAAGACAAATTCTAGAAATTCAAGAGGTATGTGATTTAACTAGCAACATGAGGTAAAACATACCATGGGCCTTCAGAATACGCAAAATCTTGTTGCCAGTGACACCCTTCACCTGAGCAATACCGTGAGAGTCACGAAGAATAACACCGATTTGGGAAGGCGTTAAACCCTTCTTGGCAAACTTGCAGATGTTCTCTTCAACCTGGGAAAACAAATTCAACATATTATACAAGGAAAAAATAAAAATAAAAACCTGCAGGCAAATGAAATTAGATCCACTTGCAATAAGAATTCTAATTACCAGGGTCAACGACAATTATGATTCACACTCATATATGGCATTTAGGATTCGAATCAGTGCATAAAACCTCTCACAGGGTTAAAACGGAACAAAAGAATACTTCATTTACCTACGTTACATCCTTTCACACAAATTGACTTAACAGAGAATCAAATTATCAAATCGTGTAGCTTTAGATACAAGTGGATAACACAGAAAAATCTTACACGAGAATAAGGTGCAACTATCAAACATCATACATTCTACAAAGATAACCAACAAATGTATGTATCAATCCAAAATGTTAATGCTTGGATTACAGTAGTAAATTTGAACAAAGGGAAAAAGGCTTCGAACTTCTCACATCTTGACCTGAGATCTTCAACCAGCTCGGCGGGGTTCTCTTGTAAGGAAGAGCTGAAGCAGAGATACCCTTACTGACAAAAGACACAAATCAAACCGATTTAGATAACCTCAAAGTCCTGACTCAAATTATCATAATCCCCAATTTGAGATGAAAATACTCTGTTTCAATCAGAAACAGTGAAACAAAGTTTTTGATAAACCTAAAACAGATAACAGAACGTACCCACGACTGTGCATACGACCCATTTCCAAGCTTGAGAAGGAAGACGCCCCTTCGCTCTGCTTCCCTGCTACCTGCTGCCTCCGGAGATACGACCAGGAAACGAACCAGCCAGATGAGGAAGCTAGGGTTTTAGATAGCCTTTTACAATGTTTTGGGCCTCTGAAACACGGGCCTAAAGCCCATACGCCCCCGGCAAGGATGGATTTAAATTTTAGAGAAAACCATTTTGAAAGTACCTATAGTTTCTTTTAATTTTCAACTTGGTACCTATGTATTTTTTTCTTAATTAAATCTTTAATTTTGCCCTATCAATATCATTAACCTTTGGATAGAGACTAAAAATGTTAATAGAACTAAAAATGCTCTGTCCAGATCATGGGATGATTTGATTTGACTAAGTACGCAACAATATAAAAATTCTCTCTCAATATACTACTCCCGGTCGTAATTATAAAAGCCAGTTGACTAATTTAAGGAGATTAAGGAAGTAAGTTGAGTTAGTTATTTGTCCTAAATAGGTGTTATCTAGCCTAAAATATCTTTGCTAATCAAGTGTACTGACTAGAACTATCATTGTTAGAAAGGCTACTTTGGAAAAAAAAAATGTATAAATATAAGAGGCAAAGTAGATTAGGGTCTTATATTTAGAACCAAAATAAAATTTAAACATGGTCTTATATTAAAGACCAGAGGTAGTATGTTGTAAAACATGTCAGTTCTCATGAATTCTTGTGAATGACGATTCTAGCCCCATCTATTGTGTCATTGGATGCGTGATTACCATCACATCTCCCTGCAATTACCTTAATGGCTTCCATTCAGTCAAAATAAATCACTATGCACAAATTTGTTTTGGAAATATTTATTTAAGAGTGTTAGATATCTAAAAAAAATTTTTGAGTTTAATATCACCCAAAAGTTTAAAATGATGGTAATGTTGCCTTTTACTTGTGATATTGACGGACAATAATATCATTACAGTTTTAAAATTTCAGAACAATATTAAAGTGAAGAAAAAAAACTTTTGAAATAGGCTTTTGAACGTGAATTTTCAATACAAATTCATAACTTTACCCTATTTCGATAACTTTTAGAGCAACAAAGTTGAAGTCTATTCATGATCCCAGCACTCCCGCAATCACCGAAGGTATTGTCTTCAGTTTCCAACCACAAGTCCATATATCTATCTAAGTATCTATTTTCATGATCTCAAATCACATCTCCCGAGCCACTTGCACGAAAGGGAAGCATCCGCATCAAGGCTGCTTTAATTAATTAGACCAGAAAGGTTATTTCAATTGTTATTTTCTGCGAGAGTTGCAGGGAGAATTTTGAGATAAATGTGAATGTGATGGAAATAGTATGTTTAATTAATTTATTTTGTCACATAATAACATAGTTAATATCCCTCATATGCGACATCATTAATTTATAGAAAATTGTGAAAGAAAAAACTGACTTCACTGTTTTATTTTGATTCTTTAAATTTAAAACTGATTACTGAAATTTGATTTTATTTTGATTTGGTTATTAAAATTTAAAACCAATAGTTTTAGTTTTTCAGTTTTGATCTCAATTTTGGTTTTAGCATGTAAAATAAGAAACCCGTAGTTTTGGTTTTTAAATTTAAAACTAGTAGTTTTCTTCTCTGAAATTTAATCTCATTTTATTTTTCGTCTTTAATAAACATTGTTTTACGATTTAGAAATCAAAACTCGTGATTTTTTATAGATTAAAATTAGAATGAGATTAAATTTTAAGAACTAAAATCACAAGCTAAATTTGAGAAATTAAAATTAACGATAACATTGTCCTTTTTATATAAAATGACTCCTAAAAAGAAAACTAGCAAGTGAAAATAAAATGAAATCTGAATTACAAGAGGCGTCATCATCAGACATCGAGAAATCAGGGAGGAGACAGAAGCTAAAGCGAAACGGCCGACACGTACTGGGCACGTGTCAATGCCGTGTGAAGCTACGATGCGTACGTGTCGGCTGCTTGTGCGCGACGCAGAGCCTGGATTTTCTGCTATAAATAACAGCGAAGAAGCCTTCTTCTCGATCTTATCCCTCTCCCAATCCGAGCTTTGTTTGTGACTTTGTGAGGTTTGTTTTTGAGTGTGAGAATGGCGCAGCTGGTGAATAAGGCCAAGGACTTTGTGGCAGAGAAGATAGCTAACGTGAAGAAGCCGGAGGCGAGTGTGGACGACGTCGACTTCAAGCGCGTCACCAGGGAGTGCGTCGAATACCTGGCCAAGCTCTCCGTCTCCAATCCTTACGGCACCTCTATTCCTATTTGTGAGATCTCCTACTCGCTCAAGAGCGCTGGAAGGTAACTCGCTCCTCTAAACCCAATTCTCATAGATCTATTAACTAGGGTGGGGCTGGTTTCTACTTTGAATAAAATAGTGAATTACAATTTATTTATTGTTAATATAAATAAATTATTTGCACATAATCCGTAGTCTGCATACGTAGTTTTGGTTTTATTTAAATTTAAAGTGATAAAATTAATGCAAGGATACCTCGAGGAGGCTATTGACATCATTTATTTTATAAATTACATTAACAAGTAATGAGTATATCAAGGGAAAAAAATGATATTTGTAATTGCATAATTTTTCGTGAGCTGTCTGTTTATTGTCTTTGACTAATGTCTTGGCCTAATTTTCTTGGTATTCTTTTTCTTGATGTAATTTTTAATTATTTTTATTAAAAACTCATTGTAAAAATCTTTTTGTTGATATATATATATATAATCAATATGGGTAGAAAAAAGTTAAGAAGAAAAAGGGGAAGGTCACTTCTGGTCTTTATCCTTATCCTTGATATTAAGAGGTATAAGAGGTATTTGGGGGTGCTTAATATAATATAAGAGGTATTTGGGGTCTTTTTTAAGAGATAGTTAAAATTGAATTTAGTTCTAAATATAAAATTTTTTTTAATAGGATATTACTAAGAGATAATCCTAATAATTAACTAATTTTTAATTATATAGTTCTTATATTAACAATCAAAATAGATAGTATTAAAGTAAATCTTTATCGTAGCTACTATGTGAATGATTAACAGAAGAGTTTTGAAATTGTGAAGGGAGATAGCGAAGGGAACGATGCCAGATCCGGGATCACTGAAGGGGAACGACACGACAATACTGGAAGTGCCAGTGAAAGTGGCTTATAGCATATTGATGAACTTAGCAAAGGACATAGGGGCCGATTGGGACATTGACTATAAGCTTGATTTGGGTCTCACCATTGACCTTCCTGTTATTGGCAACTTCACCATTCCTCTCTCTCACACTGGCGAGATCAAGCTTCCCTCTCTCTCCAATGTCTTTGCCTAATCCACTGCTACTCCCTGTTTGGGATCATAGTGGGCCCCATTTGGGACTATGGGGTCCTCACTTAAGGGCAGCAAGGGTACACACACATATAATACTTTGTCTAATAATGAACTTTGCTATGTGCCTCTTAAACTAGGCAGCAAAATGCTATAAAACACACACACACACACCCCGACTTTGTGTTGTAAACTTAGTTATGTGCCTCTTTTTATCTATAGAATGATGTTGAATTTTCGTGCTCTCATAGCTCCTTTAATTCTAAATTAAATACTCCTCCGAGACTTAATTTGTACTTTTATATCAATCTTTTAAAATTATTTTTATTGTATAATGATAAGCAAGTAAGAAAGGAAATTAAGGAGGATGATTAGGATGATTTAAGAAAAATAAATCATATTTATTATAATGAACTAACTTATCTAATCAGAATAATATAAATTTTGATTCCTTAAATTTGAATCTATTTTGATACTGATGTTTAAAATTTCCAACTTTTGATTTTAATTCCTGAAACAAACTTATGATTTTAATTCTTGAAATTTTATTCGTTTCAAACCGGTAATCCTTAGTAGTTTCACGTCGTTAATTTTTGCTTGAATGACACTAACTTCGCTGACCATATCAGCTCGTGTGGCATGTGTCAGGGAACACTGTATTAGCAACTTATGCCCATAAAATTCATCAAAAGATTGACGCTCCTCTGCAACATTTCGGAAATATTTTAGTACTAATAGATCTCCATGAGGATTTCAGCTAACTAATATCGATGATAATGATGATTTGATGTACTAAAAGCAATGTGCATGACTTCGATTTAGAAGCAGTCTGGAATACATAACCTGCAAAAGCACAATATTTAAACTCAGAACAGGGCAACCAGAAGTAAAATAATCTGTCAAAGCAAAATAATCAAACTCAGAACTGAGAAGGTGATGAAATTGCTAGGTAAACGTTCTTGGCATGACGGCCACCGATAAACCCACCACTTCGGTGACGACGATGTCACTCTCTGCCAGTAATATCGGTTCTCTTGACCTAACCCTTTCCCCCTTCTCTATTCTTTCTTCAACTGCCATTTTCTACTTGTCTCCTTGTGAGTGTTTCTTTGACCTATTGCCTTTTTTTTTTTTTTTTTTTGCTTTCTTCAACAATATGTCCACATCATCATGCCACATGTGTGCTAGCTTGTCTTTCCACATTATCAAGTTAACGGTGTTAGTGCCATTTCAAACAAAGTTAACGGCATGAAGTTACCAGGGGCTAATTCTATGGACCATAATCATAGATTTAAAATTTTAAAGACCAATACCAAAATGAGCTCAAGTTTAAGGGACTAAAATTTGTATTGACTCTATCTAATTTGTTTGATTTAATAAAATCAGTTAAAGAGGTTTTGTATTAAAGATTAGAGAGCATAATCCCATATAATATATGAATATGAAAGTTCTCTTTTGATTTACAGCATGATCCTATGAAAACTGAGGGGAACATATAATGGTGATCGTGGTAATGTGATTATTTTTTTTTTTTGGGAATGATGATGGTATGTAGAGGAACAAAAGTATTTTTAGTAATTAATTGATTTATCAACATGAGGTTTTGAAATTGTGGTGAAGATTTGTGTCTCGTGATATGATTTCTATTTGAATTGATTTTTTAATAAAAGATATATGGATATTTATAAAAATATTATGTTCATAGCAATATAATTTTTTATATATAAAAATATAAATATTTCTTAGCCTCGTGTACTCCATAGGCTATAGTCCTCCGCATCTGTTTTGCCATAAGAGCTGGTTAAGCAAACTCAAAGCTATTAAGCATGTGTTTGGATTGGCGTCAAAACTAGCAAACGTGTCATCGGCAATGTGAAAAGTCAGTTGATGGGTGACTTTAATATTTATACTTGTTTGGGTTAAAAATTTGAGCATTTTGAGTTTGTACTTTGAAGAGAGAAAGAAATAAGGAAGAAAAGAGAGAATGGTATTTAAGTAGGTCTTATATTGACTCAATAATTTGATTTTTTTTCTAGTAATAATTTTCTTAATACTTACAAATTTTTTTAAAGAAAATATTTAGATTAAGTTACTTATATTTAAAATGTCAAATTTTCTAATTATACATGGTTATGTGTTTTTTTTTTACATGAGTTTATAATTAAATACTATTAAATGCAAATATTTCAAAAATAGAACATATAGTCATGTGTGATCAGAGAACTTGTCATAATGAAAATAAGAAACTTGACGTGAGTATTGTCCTTTTTTCTTAATAATGTATTAACTATGTTTATTTATTATTTTTCTTAAATTTATGAAATTATATATATGAGATATACGTTATAAAATTCATTACTTTTTCAATAATTTTACCTATAAACTTACTTTTTCATTATTCATCCAAACAAATTTTAATTTAGCAAATTGAATTTTATTAAAAAATTAATTCAAATAGAAATCATATCACACTAATTTACTTTTGCAAAAGCTAAATAGAATAAAAGTTATCATTTATTTTCCGCTTTTGCCTTTTCAGAAAGGAATCTGTATTTCTCTGCACACAACACCCACCAGCAAGCGTTTGTAGTCCAACGGTTAGGATAATTGCCTTCCAAGCAATAGACCCGGGTTCGACTCCCGGCAAACGCATTTTGATCTTTTTTCCTTTGTAATCTTCATTACAGCAGTATAAAATATCTCTCAATTTTTTCCATGGGGAAAAAAATAATAAAAAAACTGACAAGACAGCCAAACTTCAGCCTAGAGAACAAAGCAATCATAATTCTCTCTTGTTTCACTTTAAGCGGATTGTCTTGTCCTATTTTGATTTGGAAACGTTCGTTACTGCAATAGCATACTGAACTTTTGGCTGCTTCTTTACAGGGAAAAACAAAGATTCAAATCAAGTTCAACATTGAGAACAAAGCAAATCATAATTCATTAATTTTCTTTTTATTTCACTAAGTTCACTATCTTGTTCTTCATTTGAGGCTTCTGATGGCCATGTTCGCTTGCAACTTAGAAGTTTCTTTTGTGAAAAATTAAGAATGATATTGAATATGGGGTAATAATACTGAGTCAAACAAAATCTAGCATTGGAGAAATGTAAAGGGTTAATTCTTAACTGCAGAGATTTTTAGAAGCTACAAGGTTTCTGGAATCAGATACTTGTGTGTGTGTCACATAAAGATTAAAAAAGAGAATGAAAATGGGATCAAACTAAAATGACGCTTTTCCATCCCGTAGCACTTAACGGGACAGAGGGAAAAAAAATCACTAGAACATTTTCCATAGAATCAGTATTCAGTAACACATTTTTCATCTACAGGTACCTGAACACAACCAGTAAAAGTCACAGATCCAGCACTACAATTTCAAGAAACAACAAAAAGACTCAACGGGCAGAAGATCGATATCATTATTATTCGTTACAGGCTGGTTAGTCAGCTACTATACACAGAATCATTATTTAAAGGGTCTTAAAATCGATTCTGAGCAACTGGACGAATGGACAAATAGAAGACCAATAAGCATCTCACTGGATCATTGTTCAAGGTTAGGTAAGTCCCTGCAGTATCTGCCATTGAATGCTTCAATAGAAACATAACATGTGAATTTTTCCTTCCCCCTTCTTTTACCATTTGGCATTGCATTATTAACCGTCAAGAATAAAGATTCCACTTGTTATAATTCTATTGAAGAACTTGACAGCAACTGAGTTACGCTTTATATATCTTCTATCCACCCACAACATAGAGAAGCTTGCTTTGCAGAAATAATCAAGAGACATAACTGGTCTTGGAAATTTTTGGCTTGGCAAAGAAAGCTGATAGCACACTCTTGCTGCGAGCAGGGACATAGGGAATCTCACGCCGATTCTGGTTGTCAAATGACTTGAATGCTGTCATCGGTTTGGAACCCTCCAATGAATCCTGCAAATGAAGGATTATGAGAAACTTGCTTATAATTATCCGAACAAAAACCGTAAGCATTCTTCCACCCCTAAAGAAAATAATAATTCATGGGAAATGACTAGCTTTTCCATGACAAGTTCTAATTGTAATGTCTAGGCCCTACTTATGGGTTTAGTAGCAAGTGAAATCCTGTAATATTTCATTGGTCACTCGAGAATATTTGTATGGGTATAATGCTTCATTAAGAAAATGATCATGACCTTCAGTCAGAGCAAAATTCTTGTCTTTGTGGTCAATGCTATTTCAAGCCCAGGCATAGTTTAAAGCCCCATTGCACAACCAAACCCATGTTTGCAGATACTGATTTAGCTTCATTAGCACTCAAAAATTATCAGCTTGGGCCTTAACCATTGTCCCGTCACTTAGTTCTTGCTAACAGCATATCAAGCCCCTGAAAAGACCTTCAGTGCCCATAACATACGACTCAAAAGCTTAAAATTTTAAGTGAGCACACACAATTAGCTTAATAGCATTCGTTTGCGGATCCCATGTGCACCATTGGACTAATCCAAGTAATTGAAATATTTCATGGAAGATATCGTTCAGTTTTATGAGATCAACAATTCAGTATTTTCTGCATTTTTACCAAGAGTTTGCCAAACCAAATTGATTGGGAAACAGAGACATTTTTTTTTTTTTGGGGGGGGGGGGGGGTTTGTGGGGGGGCCAAACATCTAGCATGAGCAATAATAATGATCTGATTATCAAGCACATTATAGGCATGTGCCTTCTGGTGAAGAGAAAGGACCATACCTTACGCGTGATTCCCATAGTTTGCACATCTGTACTAAATGCGAGACCTCCATGGAGAAAGTGAACTTGTGCTGCTGAAGATTTCATCCGTGTACTCTCTTCATTATCTACAAACATTTAACTTCAATCTGTAAGAAGCTACCAATTCTTTGGCATGAAGCCATTATAGCCAGGACAATTGAAGGTGGATTATATAATCAAAGTAACACTTCTATCCTTCCCACCTAAAAGTTGGAAAGCTCCGGTAGTTGTGGTAGAAATTTTTGACTCCTCAGTGCTGCACAAATGGATGTGTTAAAGAAGTAATAAGCATTTTCTCATATAAGTCACTGTTGAAAAAGGACTCTTTGTATAGCATTAAACTATTGATTTTCTGTAGAACTCACTTAGCTGAAGAATATGAAGTGCCTTTCAATGGAGATTTAGTTTCTGAAGCTAGATGCCAAGAAAGTGTTTTTGATGCAGGGGTACCTAGACATGATACATCAAGATAAGTAAATAGTTCAATAAACGCCAAATAGGGAAAACATATCAATATTCATGCCCAGATATTTAAAGGGATGGGATTTCTTAAGCCGTATACCTGAAAGATGAGGTCGGCTTCTAGCTTGAAAAAGAGTTTGCCTTGCATCAGTCTGTATGTGTGGACTGAAGTGCACCTTCTTATTGACAGAGTCTAGCTTGCACAGGTAAAAGAACAGAAGAACAGAAACCCATAAGTGAGAAAAAAGGTCATAAATCTATATCACAAGTAAATTTTTTTCTCTCCATATAATAGCAGCTGGGCATACTTGGCAATATGTAGTGCTTATGATGTCTGGGAATTATAGCAAACAATTGCTGTTGCCTAAGACCTTCTTTGTCCATGTAAATCCCGCAGGTAAGAAGTTCCTGCTTAAAAGAAAACAAGTTACTATAACGACAATTATTTATGTACATGTTAACATGATAGCCAACCCCACTAGTAGGATAAGGCTTTGTTATGATTGTTGTTGTATTAACATGATATCTGAAACTTGTATACCTGATTAAGAGCAGACACTTTCAGGTCCATGGTTGAGACATCCACAGTTTGCTGCTCAAGTAGGTCCCCTAACTTGAACGCAACAGTTCCAAGATGATCAACAGCATTCACTAAGGCTCTTACAGCATAATCTTTCAGGTTGTCAAGCACCCTAATACATAAGAGCATTCATACGAAGAAAATAACCATGCAATTTGAGCATGAATGAACTCAACGCAAAATCTTGGACGCTTAAGAGGTCACAGTGACCACTTGATGAAAGCGCTCACCACTAGTGTAAACCTTCAAGCATAAAATTCAAATCAATCTAAAATTTCAAAAAACACATACAGGGTGCCCTCTCCGTTGCTGTCTTTAGACGTACTTATACTAATTAGACAAAAATGCTTTCTCTGGTAGATGCATTCAAGGGACCTATTCTGCATGAGGACACACAATTTATGGGATTCTATTTACAATGACCATATGCCATACACCCCCATTATCAGCAACATCACAATTATGTTGCAACCATATATGCTGTTAAGAATCACTTTGTTCAGTGGTTCCGCCTACATGTCCTAACGCAGATATTATTGGGGGCAAAGTAAGTCACACTAATCTTGCCAAATTTTTAATCCATGTTTTGTGATGCTTCCAGACCACGTTGAGCGCTTTCTTTTAATGGCTCAAACATATCTGTATCTAATAATATAGTTTGAATTTTTCCCATATACATGTCCAAATCCATATTTATTTTTCACGCTATATGAAGAAAAAATATCAAAATATTTGATTGTGCCGTTAGAAAGCTTTTCTATAAATAATTGGATTGATTAAAATGTCCTTAAACAGTATTACATGGATAAATTTAGAAGAATATTATCACTGATTAGCACCAACTAAAACTGTACTACAATGAAATCACCAACTGCTGGACATTGTTGTTAAAGCTTCAACTACTTACAGATAGAGAAGAAGATCAAGTGAAGGGAGTAAAACTACCATAAGAGACTTAATAACAATGGGGGAAAACCATTGTAGGCAAACAGTACCCTTACATTTGTTTCTGTTCGCTATGAAAATAAGATTTTTCGCAGTACTCTGCAGCAGAATAAAGCTGAGGCCTCAAATTCTTGAGTTCCTGAAATGACAATCATAGTCAAATCAGGTGAATATCCATGCATAGTCCTCTACTATTATGACGAAATTAGTCAAAGCAATACCATAAGATACACAACTAAATTGGTCAGTTGCATCAAGAAGAACGAAATTCTATGGGCCTTCTTTGATCTTACAGTGAGATTCCAATGTCAATAGTTAATATTACAGCTCAAAATGTTGCAGTAGGAGTAGAGTCCAGTACTATTATGAGGAAATTATTCCAAGCAATACCATGAGAAGATACATAGCTAAATTGGTAAGAAGAAATCTATAGGCCTTCTTTTGATCTTACAATGAGATTCCAATGTTAAATGCTAATAGTAGCAACCTTCGTGTGAAGTGCAATCAACAATTTGGGTCATTGAAATGATTTTAGCAATACATGAGATGCTTTTCAGTTACCCCTAATCCCCAACGACACTAAATAATTGCAAATATCCAAACAAAGATTATATATATGGAACAAATAGATAGAGTTATTTGCAATGGCAAGTACATTGGCCCACATCCAAACTTGACAAATAAGCATGATATCATCACCTCATGTTAACTATGCAGACAACAATATGATTACACTCACACAAGGATAGTGAGCCACTGAAGGAGAAAAATAATCCAAAGATCCATTATGTGTGATGCAATTAAGATGCATTCCATAAAATATGTCACTTAAAATGACTAGAAGAGAAGCACTCCTTTGTTCCTGTCCCAACCTCCGTAAATTGATTTATTTATCTTTGTAACTATTGAGGAACAAATCAGTGCCTAAACTGTTAGGACTAGCTCCATGATGCCTCGTCTCCATAAGTCTCCATTTACTCTTTCGCTTTTTCCTATATTTAACATTAATTAGACTACACTGTCTGGGCATTGGCTATTACTAAACTGAGGTGCGGCTCCTAAATATGCTAAGGTCAATTCTACATGCAAACCAGAGCTCCATAAAGTGATAACAAATATCAAAGCATCAGTCACTAGATAAATATATTTGCCTTTGCCCTAAAGGCTCACTGTTAAAGTGGCCCAATTAGTTTTGGTGATGCCCCGATATCATTGCAAGGTCCAAATTGACGAGAATCTTACAGCTTCCTTTCTTGCTGCATATGTTTGACTGTGAGTGGATTCTTGAAGTCGGAGAAGGACAGATTGGTGAGTTTCATAATCAAGGGACTTTTATCCTTTTCTCAGAACCGAGTATCTGGCTGCAAATTTTTATGCTTCCTGATCCTGAATCCTAACATGGATGCTTTCATTGAGAGCTCTAAAGTCACTCTTATGCATCTGAGAGATGGCAGATTACATTAGTCCTTTGAGATTCTTAAAGATAATAGGCATGCCAAAGGATTCTTTCTTATAATTTCATGGACTAACATATTAATTGCAGTTTTCAAAACTATACCAGGATATATAAATATCCATGAAGGTTTTTGAGTTCATTTTCTGAAATTTTGCTTTTGCCATTTTGACGCATTTACTTCAAATGAACAGAAAAATACACCAAATGCATTACATGATGGAATTGATTGTATGGCACAAAAACTTAATGGAAAAGTTAATGGGTGGCGATCATGCAAGAAGATGCCTTGAGCCAATGCTACTTTGGCAGTGTCACTTTCTGTTTGTAAGGCAGGGGCTTCGATAATTAAGATTCCTCTCTTCCAGCACATAGCAAATAGTGAATTTAGCTGGAAATAAAACTTTCATACTGCCTGTGCCTTCACCGACTCATGAGTGCTAGCAACAAGTTGTCTAGGAATTTATGAATCTTCCTGCTGGGTCTTTTTTCAGATAAGATGGGTATATCATCATCTGAGGGTAGTAAGAACATAGCAACGGACAAGATATTATCATAATTGGTATGACAGTGTCTTTCTCCCTATAGCCATGAAAATAAGAGGGCCTCGAACCGTTGAAGACTGCCATTGCAAAAGCTGGACAAAACCTATGACTCAAATTTTCAAGAGATTAATGACAGGTCACATAAGATATCAGGAGAATGTGGGCAAATCTTTATGATATTCCACCCAACTGTGTCAATAGAGGATCCATTTGGTCAAGGACAAGGTGACTGGGAGCATTTGCAAAGTTTAAAGGCTAAATTTAGTCAGCAAGTGCAAATGGTTGCTGACGATCTCCTGGATACGAACCTGAAGTGTGTGCGGAGAAAGTTGCTTGAGGCAGGCATTTGTCTTTTTGCTGTTGATGAAGCACATTGCAGATCGCAGCAGGGCCATGTATCACAGCTGGAATGTGAGCAAGGAGGAATAACGCACGCGGTTGTTTTGAAGGGGTAGACGCAAATGACTCAATATCAGTGCATGGCCCAAACTGAGGAGTTGCTTCATTTTTTTGTGGGGGGAGGCTTGCAGGCAGAGAATGATAATTATCCTTTTATCAAAAACGGCATCTCACCGCAATTTCTTACGCTTCCTAATCTTGAATCCTAAGAGCCGCAGTCTCAGACTAGCAAAGCATCCACCACCAAAAATCCAACTAAAAATTAACGGAAAGAAACTCTTAACCATATTTACCCAGATTCTCCACCACCAAAATAGGATACAACAGAACAGTAGTAAAATGAAATCCCCAAACTCAGTAATTCGCACAAGCAAAACAATCCCAGAACCGCAAATGTTAGTCGGAAAATGGTAACACACGAAATGCCACAGCCAAAATTCAATCAAAAAGAACAAAAACAAATGCAGATCTGGTCCAAACATGCGACACCCAAAAGCCAAACAAGAAGCCCGGGAATAGAGTAAAGAAGCCAGAACCTGCAAGGCATTGACGAAGCTCTTGCTTCGCTCCATGGAGACTTCGTCGAACGTCATGGCCGGATTCATAGGCCTCGCATTCTCCATAAATTCCATGAATAATCCAACCCCAACACGCAGAAAAGCAAAAGAATGAACTTCAGAAATAGTTTTTGAACTTGAAACCCCAAGAACTAAAAATGCAAAAAATTCAGTGACCAGTGATTATTATAAAGAATGAGAATTTGCTGGTGGGTTAGGTTTTGGTGGGAGAGAGGTAATAATTAATCATTTAATCTCGGAGGGGGGGGGAGGGGAGAGAGAGAGAGAGGGAGAGGGGGAGAGAGAGAGGGTGCAGTTGACGCAATACAGGACAGAAGAGAAGTGAGAATTTGGGGTTTAGTGTTAGAAAATGACACAACATTCATTGTGTGCGGTGGCTGGGCAGGTAGTTAGAAGTACTTGACTTGGAGGCTCATAATTATAACGGTAAACGGATCTGAAAAGACAAAACTGCCCTTGCTGACTATAATCGCTGCAGCCTCGCTGCAATGCATTTTTTAAAAATTTTTTTCTATTTAATTTTTCTGATTCAAAATTTTAAATCATTTTCGTTTAAAATTTTTATAATTATATTTTGCTAATCTTATTTTTGGCTATAAACATGTAAGTTTTTTTTTTGTGAAAAAAAAACATATTAAATCAAATTTAGATTAAGTTCTCTAATCAGATCTTGTCATGTCGCATGCGTATCATCATTTATCGTTATCGACGATTAGTCCATAAAATTGTCATGAGGAGAAAAAGATAGCTACAGACTGCTAAGGTATGTGATTGAGAAAATAAATTGTTGCTAACATAAAAAAGCATAAGTTTTAAGGGCTTTATTTCTGTTTTTTTCCTTAATAAATTTTATAGAATTATCTTTTAAAACAAGTTTTAAAAAGGAAAAATAAAAATATCTGTTTAGATAATTATTCTAAAAAATTATAGTTGAAAATAAACATACTGACATCAGAGATTAAAGTTTTGATAAAAACTTAAGTTCTCAAATAGAGAAAAGTCACAAAGCAGGGAAGAAATAATTTCTCAAATTTTCCAAACAAAAAAAAAGATAAAAAATAAAAATTATTTTAGATTTTTAGTTTTTAAAAACATATTTCAGTTTTTTTTTATTTTTTAGGAACATTTAACTAAAAATAAATTATTAAATAATTTTTTAATTTTTAAAAAACAAAAAGTGTTTTCAAAATAAGAAAGCAAACAAAGCCTAAAATTCACCAAACTCACAAAAGCATATTCTCCATCTTATTCAAAACGTATGTATGAATTAAATAATTAATCTATACAAATTAAAAAAATTAATTATTTATAGAAAATGTGAATTTTTTTTTAAACTATTTCTTCTTTTAATTATTTATATTGACAGCAACATTGAATAATTATAACTTTAATACGTGCGTTAATAGAAATAAGTTATGAGGTTAAACTAAAAAAGAATTAAGTTGTGAGCAAAAAACAAATTTAAAGAGTATATAAAATTGAGATTTCATATTTATGACTAAAACAAATTTTTCAACTAATTAAGACTGGGGAGTACTTTTTTTAATCCTGTTTATAATTAATTTTCAACATGTTTTACTAGACAAAAATTTTAAACCTCATTAACTATGTCTTAAAATTTAACAAATTTTGCCAGCAAAAAAAATTTAACAATCTTCCAACTTCACTTTATTTAATATTCAGCATACCTCATAAGAACATAATCTACACAATAATAAATGATAAAAATACATATTCAAATAAAAAAATTTAATGATGTGCCTTGTATGTAATACAAAAAACATTTTCTTTCTACCTTACAAATAGAGGTGATGGTATAAGATCAAGACAACTCTATTTTAGTAATTGAAACAAAACAATTTTTTCACCCTATGTCCCATCCTATCTCGATGGTGTTTTATCCCAGCATAACCTGGACAATATAAAGACATCCCATATTTTAAAAAAAGATTTATAAATTTTTTAATTTGAAAATTAACTGTACATAAAGTATAAAAATCACAATAAAAAGGTTGTACGGAAAATAAAAAAATTGGCCAAAAATTTTGTACTAATTGAATTTTGACAAAGAAAAAAGTTTCTTACAATTTTAAAATATAGAAAATAAATAAGCTCAAAATGTCCAAAAAGAAAATCATATAACCTATACAAAGGACATTGTAAAGAATATACTCAAAGTAATAAATGACAAGTAAAAGAAATTTATAAAATTAAAAAAAGGATAATATATCAAAAAGGAGGTGTCATGTTCCATCTCAAGACAGCTTTGATTATATTTGAGAAAATAGGGTAGGCTGATTACCATTGTCATAACATTTACTCCGAATACCTTCATGATTGTGACGTCCAAAGGCGCTACCACCTCAGTCATATGATTCAAATGGTAGACAATATGGCTGAGAAGATTGACAAGCAACGACATTAATGCTTGGGCGATATATGAAATAGACTTGAGTCCCTCACAGATCATAGACTTCAAGCAACGTACAAGTTTAAGGTGATCAGCGAGTATAAGAGATTCAATTTTGCTTAAAGGAAAAGGATCGATTTGAGAATTGACAGACAAGATAACTTATTCATACCCATCAAGAAGTCCATCCAAAATCACTTTAATTTGGTCCCATTCACTAATAGAGTAGCTAATCGAAATGAGAGCATCGGCTAAGGCTTCAACATGAAGAATAAACTCAAATTATGCGACCAATCTTCTTAATGTTGCGAAGCTCCTTCCTGTATTGATGGATCTTGATATGAGTGTGTGCATGAAAGAAATTTTGAATATGCCTCTAAAGCTCAAAAAATGACTAATATTGTTTATAACAGAGGAGAGAGTCAGAGGAAACTATTCCTGCATCATGATCTTCGGAAGATTTGAAGAATAGGCAGTCAAATTGGGTCGTTCTTTCAAGAAAAAGGCCCAAATTAGCTGCAGTGGATCGATTTAGTTTTGTAGATATTATGGAAAAGTCATTCAGTCTCCCTGTCTCTCTAGTTCATTAGTCCTACTCTGTTATTCTCATTCTCCTATGTTCCTCTATCCTATCCCCTTCTTCCCTCATTCCCAACCTTATTCTATAAAATAAATATTATGTGATGAAACTGGAGGTGAACAAAGAGAACTTAAACTGATAGATTCTTGCATGACTATGTGCATGAAAGAAATTCTAAATATGTTTCTCGGAAACATGGGATGTGGAATAATCAACAAGCTCAGAAAGCATCAAGTCATAGATAGTAGACTAAAACTAAGAAAAAATAACTAATATTGGTTATAACAGAGGAGATACTCAAAGAAAACTATCCCTACATCAAGATCTTCAAAAGATTTGAATTGTGATGATGAGTGACCTATCTCAAGAAAATGAAAGAAGCCAAATTTGGTTTGCTATTTTCACACAAGAAAATCTTATTCATCTACTTGTGAAGAGATAGTATGACTAATAACAACTAACTCGCCACCCTTGATGTGGTCAAGAACTACAAGTCCCAGAAATAGAAGTCATAATTTAGTGTTTCTGAAGCTCTAACTCAGCAATGCTCTGATATCATGTTTGGAGGAATACTCATCTTCCAAATCATGAAAAGATGATTATACTTCATGGCTAATGACAGAGCTATTACAGATGAGCAAGAGACACTTTCTCAATTGATAAGAAAACATAAACATACGGCCACTAAAAAATTCTAGCATGAAACTAGTAATTATGTTAATAATTTGGTCTCTCAGAGTGAAATCCATTTGTTTTGTTAATGATGACAATAACTCTAATGATCTTGTAACAAGAAGGAAAAAAAACGCTTACAACTAAAGAAAAAGACTCAGTCAATGCACAGTGAAAATATCCAAGATAGCATATGTGCTGAAAACAGGTAATGCTGTACTAGAGGGGTTTAATTCCAAGCCACCAATAACTGTGAGTAATAAACTTTCTGGGTCAATATAATGACAAGTAACCCTTTATATAAACTAGGGTTTTTAAATAGGTTATTAAGGTTGGTAACTAATCATTTTTTACTAATTCAACCTTTCAACAGAGTATTTTGAGATGAAATATTAACTATAATATGCTCAATAGATTTTCTGATGCACATCTCGTGTACATTAATTTTATTTGCCTATTCGCTTAAAAAAAAAAACAACTACAACCATAATTAGAAATAGGGTAGTTTGTCCTTTACAAAGGAAAATGTCAAATATCTATCAAGAAAAATTCATCACAAACAACGGATAAAATTCTTTAAAATGGGTAACAGCTCTTTCTTCAAAATAGAAGTGTATTTTATTCCATAACTTGATATCATAATATTTATTTACGGCTAAGATCTTGGACCATTTCAATCATTATTAATATCGCTATAAGATATAATAATCTATGCAAGGTAGAAAATGATGGAATCATCCATTTAATTCCATGTAATGCAGAGGGAGTTAATAAAGCTTCTCTTTATTGCAAATAATATACATAATCAGAATAAATATTCTCTTAAATCATTTAAATAATTGTTTTGTGGTGTGGATTTATAAAGGGAATATTCAATTACTTCAAATGTATTGGGGAGTTAGGAAGATGATAACTCATTGAAAGAGCATTAATGCTTTGTTAAGCAACTGAAGTTAGGGAATTTACAAAAAGATTACGTGCATTTACAAATTCATTGTAGCAGTTTGATATTTTGTAGTCTATTAGCCAAAGTCAGGAAATTTATAAGAAGAAACAATGCATTTAAAAGTTGATTGTAGAGATTTGATATTTAGTAGTGTAACAATTTAAGCCAGACAATTTATAAGAAGAATTAATACATTTACAACTTAATTGTAACAATATTATATCTTGCCCTTGTAACAAGTAAAGTTAGAGAATTTACAGTAGTGTATTTATAAGTTTGGGGTTTATATAAGAAGTGAAATTGCATGCTATGGATTTCGATGCGTTGTTTAATGTACTTATTAATGACATAATAATTATTGTTTGAAGGCGTAAGAAGATGGTGAAAAAAGATGTAGAAGTTACCGGATGTAAGGCATTCAAGGCTAAATTTTGGGAACGTAAAAAATACTAGACATGTGGGATGAAAGCAATTACAAATACTATTTTATAAGAGCAGAACAACCTGGCAAATGCTGATAAGGAGCCACATAGAAAAAAAGAGGAAGAGTCCACTCAAGAGAATGATGGAATAGAATTTACCATGCCTTATTATACAACAATAGGAGTTAAATTATATGTTTATGAGTTCATATATTATTTTGAGTTTTCATTGTTACGAATGTGTGAATCTAATGACAGTACTTATTGTTATGCTATAAGAGTAACTCCACTGAGGTCACTCTTGTGGTGGCTTGTTACTCAGAAAAAAAATACAAAGTCAACTACTGTTGCGAAACTACTTGAACAAATAAAGGCACAACCAAAAAGAAAGCGATAACATATCAATTGTTATATTTTAATTTGATATGTGATTTTAGTTAGTTCAAAATGTGTACAAATTTGTGTATATGGGAATTTGCACAAGTTCGGTGTAAGGAGTTATATATTATCAGTTTATTACATGTCAATTAATTCTAATATTCTATTTTTCCCTCACCAATTTGCAAGTCTGGAGCTATTATTCAAAACTAGAATACACGATTTTGCAATAAGGATGCATAAATTCATAATAGAAATATGTCCATTTGTAAGTAACCTAATTTATTTCGAAAACCTGAACTTGATCATTTACAAGAATGGGAGATACTATTAATAACTGGAATATGCTAATTTGCAACAAAAATACAAAGATTAACAACAAAAATTACGTCCATTTACAAGCAGTATAATTTAATTGAAAAAGTTGAACATGATAATTTACAAATCTAGGAGGGACTATTCACAACTAGAATTTACCAATTTGTAACAAGTATACACAGCTTAACAATAGAAACACATCCTTTTGTGAGTGAATTAATTTGTTCATACATGTACATAGTCGATAGACTATTTTCAGTGCAATACTTAGAACAGCTTATCACTAAGTACTATCATGAAATTTTTTTATCTATTCACAGTACTATACAAATAGATTCCAATTAACACAAAAAATCTAAATGGATTGTCATAACTACTTTCCCAACCATTCCAATTGTGAATGATAGGTATTAGACTTATAAATTATCATGTTCTACTTGTGAATTAAATTAATTCACTTGCAAATAAATGTATTTCTCTTATTAATCTACGTCTCATAGTTGTAAATTGGCATATTCTAGTTGTTAATGATGGGTCACAGACTTGTAAATTATTATGTTCCAGTTGTGAATTACTTTAATCCACTTGTTGATGTACATATTCTCATTGCAAATTGTTGTATTACAGTTGTGAATGATAGATCCAAACTTGTAGATTATTATGTTTCACTTTTGAATTATTTTACTCCACTTGCAAATGAATATATTTCTTTTGTTAATCTACATCTCCTTATTGCAAAATTTTGTATTCCAGTTGTGAATTATAGGTCCCATATTTGCAAATTACTACTCTGGTCCTAAATAGAAGATCTATTTTGTAGTATAATTTATACTGCAAAATATATCTTATATTTAAGACCAGAGTAGTATCATATTCCACATTCATATTTAATTTGGATGGTTTATATTTACTTTTTAATTTTAACTTTAAATTATTTGTTTATAAAACTAACAATGAAGGTATTATTTTTATTTTATAAATGAAATCCATTCTCATGTCTAGTGATACACTTTGGTTATAAACTCATAATAGAAAATTAGAATTGGCAGACAAAAAATAGAAGATTAGTCTTAATTCATATATAATAAACTCATAATATATATTTCCTTATAAAAGATGTGCAAATTTTCTATATACAAATTAGTTCATGTCACCAAAACATATAGTAGTCTTCCAAATGAAAATGCCTTAATACAAATTTAAACACATTCTGAAATCATATATCATTTTGCCTCTAAGGATCTTCACAAATTTTCCTCCCACATGAAAGATATAAAATAATTGTTCTGTACTGTTGTTAGTCATATATCATTCATTCTTGTATATCATTCATATATCAATTTCAATCAGTTATTAAAAAAATTAAACGCGATATAAATTTACAACTGAAATTTATGAATTTATAATAGGAATACAAGTTTTCACAATACACATAGGGAATCTTACTATTGAATCAAGATACTTTTTTTTTTTTTTTATGACAAAGGGAATAGGAACTACTACGTATCAGCACCCACTAAAACAAGACTCTAGAGAGCTTCTCATTGAAGAATGTCCCGTATGGGATCTGGGGGATTACGAAACGTAGCAAAATCAATCCCCATATTACATGCTTGTGCAGCCAAAGCATCCGCCATGATGTTCATGTCTCACGAACAAACAACCGCTTCAACCTCTCAGTCCTGATCTATCATCTGTTGGATTTTAGTCACAACACTGTGGTCCGGGTGTTCCGAGGGAATGGAAGAATGAACAAGGGAGATTAACTCAGTGCAGTCACACTCAACGATTAGGTGACATAAGGCGCTGTCCAATGCAACCTTTAGAGCCCACAAAAGACCCCAAGCCTCAGCTGTGATGATTGAACCCCGACCGACCTTGTGCATGAAACCTTGCATGAAAGTTCCATTATGGTCACAGAAGATGCCCCCACAGGTACAAAGGCTAGAATCTAAGTGACGAGAACCATCCACATTAATCTTCACCACGTCTAAAGGGGGCGGTTTCCAAATGGGCTATAAAGACACCCCTGTTTTTTGCTGTAGTGGGTTCTGATTGCCCCAAGCTAGGCAAGCCTGAACTCGTGCAATAAGAGTCTCAATTCTCCAGCCTAGATCATTGAAGATCGAACCATTCCTACTCAACCATAAGTTACAACAGACTAGAGGAAACCAGAGCCTGAAGTCATAACCATTAGTTTGGAAACCGTTACGAGTGCACCACGTAAGCCAAGCAGAGAGATCAGAAACAAAAAAGAATTTATTTCCCCATTCATGAGGCAAGAGAGCATGCCAGACCTGCATGCTATGCTAGCGGTCACGAAGAACATGTAAAACAGTCTCCTGCTTGCCCTCACACGAGTTGCACTCCCCAGTGGGGTGTAGTCCTAGCTTAGATCTTGACAGATTAGTGAGCAACCTTCCTTGGACGCATAACCACACGAAGACTCAGCATCTTTGTGGAACACGCAACTTCCACTGAATACATGTTTGTTTTTTACTTCATAGAAAGATAAGCATATCTGCTTCATCAAAATTCATAAGCCTATTAGAATAAGTATATATAGAGATAGCACTTATTGCGATACAATAGGAGAATATATATGATATATTAAGACTATGCTAAAACCTTGCATTATTTTTATTCAATTAATATCTTGAACCCGCAAAAAATAGAACCACTAACACAAGTCTGATGATTTTGTTAGAAAAGCTGTTGAATTACAAAATACCAAACATTCGCAATTGGACAACAAATGAGCAGCTTGAAACATGGGAAATACCACTCTAAAGCTTAAGTTTAGTCATAGCAAGCCTAAAACGAAAGATAATTACAAGGCCATTCTACTAAGGGTCCGTTTGGATTAGTGATAAAAAAATAAAAGTAGCTTATTTTCAATCTGACTTCTAGAAAAGTAAGATTAGGTAAAAGTTAAATTGGATAAAGTGAATTGCATTTGGATTGGAGTTTAAAAAAGTTAATTTGTAAAGTGAGATTGGTAAAAGGTTATTTAGATTATGATTGAATAAAAAAAAATTGTTTGTAAAATTACCAAAATGGGTATGAGTTTTAATAAATAATGAAACATGATTTAAAAAAATGATTTTACATAATACAATGAATTTAAATTAATTTAATATAAAGAAGTGAAATTTAATGAGTGAATTAAATTTTAAAATTTTAGAGAAATCACAAAAAAAATATTTTACATATAAAGTGAAACATGATAAAAAAAATAAATTTACATAATATAATGAATTTAAATTAATTTAATATGAAGAAGTGAAATTTAATGAGTAAATTAAATTTTAAAACTTTAGAGAAATAAAAAAATTATTGTAAATATAATTTTTACTAGAGAGTGAATATGAAGACTTGCGATATATATGAAGACTTGCGCTTGATTATCTTGCGAGGAGACGACAAAGTGAGAGAAAAATAAAAAGGGGAATAATTCCGACACACCCGGTACATAAGCCCTTCAAATAAGCTCCTTTCCACAGCTTAATTTTAAACGCACGGTTGGTCCAGATTATGCCATCAAGCTCAATAGCCCATAAGCTCTCCCAAACAGCATTTGATTTTTCAATCGGGCTCCTGACCAAAATAAGTAACTTTCGGCCTAAAATAAGCCCTCCCAAAACAGCACTAAAAGTAAGCAGGCCCATAACATTACTAAGCATAGTTATTTTTTCCCTAGTGGCAGCAGTGTTCCAAGTATACTTGAATGATTTTTAACATGAGACAAGGTACAGAAAAGCTACTAGCAAATTGTTAACCTGACTTTTTTGGTTTGGATGCTTCTCAACCCACCTGATGAACTGCTCAATCTTGTCATCTATCTTCTGTTCAAGTTCATCTTCTCCACATTGCACCTATGCATGAAGAGTTAAAGTGAAAAAGAAAGGTGGAAAAAAAAAACTTAAATACAGGAAGAGATTAAGTAGAAGTTTTTCCAGTTGCAGACAATCTGAAAGCATTAAGAAACGGGAAATTTACAAAATAAGCATATTTCAAACTACTGTGTCATCCCCGGGGAAAGTAACCGAAGATAACAAAGTATGCGCAGACATGTAAACAAAGCACAATTGGAAACTGGTGAAAGGAAAACAGTACCATCAGAAAGGTGAATGTGAGAAAGACTTCCAGCTATGCGAAATCATGATAACCAATGCAAGAATAAGGGATTCATGGGAAACACTATTTTAGATACTTCATGTTCAAACAATTATGAGAAGTTAATTAAATTAAAAATCACCGTGGCAAGCTAGCTCAGTGTGAGAGTAAAAAGAGAGGCAAAACTGAAAAACCATGAGAGAGGGTGAGAGTAGGGGTAAGCAGTGAAAAGGGGGGCAATGGAGTTGTCGGAGAATTCCACAAAGCAGCTGTGAGCAACGATGATAGATTGAGAAGCTCAGGAGAACAAGGACCACAATTGTAACAGGCTTAACGCAACTTCAACAATGGCGATGAAGATGGAAGACAAAAAATTTCAGAATTATTTGGGGTGGAAGAAAATTATGCTGCTATAGTGATTCTTTAATAAAATTTTTCCCCAAAAAAAAAAAAAGACTAACGAGTGTGTCCCTCAATGAATAGGGGGAATTTGAGTTAGTGTAAGTACACAGATACGTTAAAGGCATTGAGAAGGTTTTATCTTTTTTATGATCCTACTGAACTCATTCTTGTCTGCATGACTTTTCTTTATCCCCAATTCGTATCATTTCGTTAGGAGCTTTTACCACACTGTTTTCTAATCATATTTCTTCTGTATACTTTGGTATGTTGTACAACTTTCAAATATTCATGCCTGCAATTTAGCCTCTCTATCCAAAAAAAAAAAAGTAGCTTGTTCCGAGGAGAGCTAATAGAGCAGGCTGGCAATACAGATACAGGCCAACCCATGGCCACCTGTATCTTTTTTTCTTTTTTTTTTGCAAAAAAAAATCATAAATTTAAAGTATTTCTTTTTTTTTCCTATAAAAATGTATTACGGGTATTGTATTTATATATGTCCTTTTGACGGGATTTTTGGTGCCAAACATTTATGTTATACAGCATGAACGAAGTCATATAATTAACTAAAAAATTACACATTAGACTCTTTCACTTAAAATAATTAAATATATAAAGTATAAAATTTATAACAAAGCACTATAAATCCTGTAAGGATGCATGAATACACGCGCACTTTATTGCATAAAATTGCATGTAACAATCCTGTAAGGATTTGCAAAATGATAATCATGTCATATAGATTTATATATTTTTTTCCTAACAATAAAGATTTATAATTTGGATTTATATATCGGACGGCGTCACCATAACGTGTGGCCTATATATAATAAAATGGAAGAAATTTTTCGATGTAACGCATTCTTTTATTTATAATCCAGATACAGAGATTGAGTGACTTGAAATATGATTAACCTGATTTGTGTTTCTCCCTATGAAAATATAAATTTGCCGGCAGATTGATTTATTTAAAAAAAAGAGCCAGTGGAGTAGGCCCAAAGTGGTACTTCCTTGACGAGCTGACGTTCTACCAACTCAATACCGGGCTCATAGGCTGGGCCTGCTTATTACCAGCTCGCCGAGTAGGATTGGATTTGAAAGGGTAGACTCTTCACCTAAATTTGCTCTAATCATGTTTCACCTTGTGTTGTTACGCCTTGTGGACAATGTTTTTTTTGGCTTGCTTTTTTCTGCTATCATATAATTAAAGAAAAAACCATCTCAAGCTGATAGAATCAAGTTCTCTTCTTCATAATTTGTAAAAAGGATAAAAACATTGGGCAAAAAAAGGGATAAAATGGAGAAATATTAATAACACTTCAGAATAACTTAGAGGAATTTATTTTAGAAGGCAAGTAATTTTGGGTGGTTATGTAATTTCAAATTCGATTTATGAACGTGAAGACTATATTGGATTTCAAATTCGATTTGTGAATATGGAGACTCTGCCAATTATGACGTAGAGTACATATTTTCAATTCTGCATTAATTTCTTAGTGTGATTTAATCTATCTATCTATCTATTATTATTATAAGAGAGGGGTCTTCGTAAGGCTATTTAGAAGTGCGACAAGTGCTAATTCAACTTTGGTTTCCATTCAGGTATCTGCTTGATTAGTATTGTAGATTTTTAATTCTAAAAAGTTTCTTCTTTTGTCCCTTGCTGTTTCAATTTTTTCTACCATGCACCTCGAAATACTAATCAAACATAGGTATACATTTAATTCTGGAAAATTAAAAAAAGGATGGACCCAGTGGATGACGATCCTTTGGAAGTTGCTTTTGACAGAGTACTATGAATTTATATCTACTACAGTCATTGTAAGATTTTATTATGAATTTATATCTACTACAGTCATTGTAAGATTTTATAACTACAAGAAATCTATCCTTTATCAATCAGTTGCCTCTATTCAAGATTCATTTACTGATGCTTGTCATTTTCTACAGGTGAAATATTTAATGAGATAATTAGAAGTCCTTACTTGGCTCTTGAGGTACTAAAACAAAACTAGCCATATTGGGCAGGTTAGATTTGTCTTGTGAATGGAGTATTTCAGCTCATGACAATTGAATTTTTAATGGCTAAGAATTAAATTTAAAGTTGCTATGGATATGCTGTTAGAAGAAAATAAATGCTTGTCTTCAAATGGCTTCAATATGGTCAGAAAAGAGTAGTCTATTTGCTTCCCAAGTAATAAATATATCTTGTCTATGCCATTTGAATTTTTGCCAAGGGGTTTGAGTCAAATTTGTTTGGTAAATCAATAACATTTACTGACTTCTATGCTCCTAATTTGATCACTATGCTTACTTTGGTCTCAGATTGTGACTAAATGGGCGCTCTTGAGCTTAGAAAATAGTTTCATACTTACCAACATGGTCTCCTGCTTGATCATAATTCCACGTCTTTCTCAACATCTTAAAGCTAAATGTTGAGCTACAATTGACCATTTAGTTTTGTGTAGATCTAACTGAAAATATAAATATTATTAAATCAAGGACTTAAACTGATTTTCTATTTGAGTTATCATCCTTCCATCTATCAGGTTTTTTTTCTTCCCAACAATTATTACATGTAAAAAAAAAAAAGATAAAAAGTGCCAGTTGTAAAAAAATTTATTTGCCTTGAACATACCCTATGTTCAATGCCCATGCAATCCACAGGCATTGAACTAGTTTTACATAATAACATAAAATCCAATTAACTTAAAAATAAAGATCATATTTAAGTAAGTTTGATTTGAAAAACTAGAAACTAAACAAGTGAAGTTAAAAATCTTTAATTAATTTTTCACCTTTTATCTTATACGTTGTCTTTATCAAAATTGCATAACCACATCACCCGGAAAAAAAAAAATGACAACCCCATTTTCTGATTTTTTTTTAAAACAAAATTTGGTTAAAAATTCTTACTTCAAAGCTTAATTAGCTTAATATGCATAATTACACGCTCTCAAATTTAAATTCTTTTACCAGATTAAGTTTGCAAACAAATTTTTCTTTTTAAAATCAAATTCATTAAAAATTTTCTCCACACCATTTATTACTTACACCTTTTTCTATTGTGTGTTGGATTCATCCTGTATGATAGCAGGACTCATGTCATATTTAATACGAGTTGTTACGTCATCAAAAAAAAAGAGTGCTAATAAGATCTCATAATATTATAAATATCTTCAATTGCTTTCTGAAACTCAGATAGATAATTTTAACTTAGCATCATAGATCCTTAGCATGGGAACTACTATAGAACCATAGAGAATCCCAAGCACCTTAAAGAAAGATCAACAATACAAAATGTAACAGTACTATTCAAAACATTTTTGTTTACCATAAAGTAGTTTTTTTTGCAAAAAGTGCTTATAATAAAGTCTAAGCAAATTCATTCAATAGTAATCAATAAATACTTTCAGATCTACACTAAGCACAAACATGAAAGCAACAAATTTAATTTCAAATAACCATGAATTTTCAGTGGTAAGACAAGTGAATATAAAAAAAGGTTTTCACAAGTTTAATTGATTAAACCAAGTAATCATTACTAACTGCTTAAAGTTTGATAATCAATCAAGATTTTAAGCTCAAAATAGTGTGCAATCATTAGCAACTTCTGAATCATACATCAAACAAAATTTAAAAAGACAGCAAGCAATTTTTAGTATTTTCTAGAATTCTAAACTTCACATCTTATAAGAGATTACCACCCTAATGACACTAAATAATCCAACATGTACAAAGTTCAAATGGGGTTTACATCTTAATGTTTTTTTCGGAATCTAGAATAAGGGATGTAATATGTCTTCATTCATTGTAATTCTAAAAATCATTAAAAGCCAATTTATTTTTCTAAGAACATTGACTCATGGCTTGGGTTGTCATATCGATTTGCAAAATCACAAATCTTGACAATAACAGACTCATCTTCTCATAGCAGTATTGTAACATTTCACGAATTCAGAATTCAAAACAAACAAAATTGATTTTAGAATGTTTATGCAAGTAGAGGAGAAGTAGAAATTTCGGTCCGATACCAACTAATGCAAGATGGATGAGATCAAAACAAGTTTTTGAAATGCTTGTGCGAGAGTTGAAGTAAAAAAAAATAAAGAAAATGTGACTTTGATACTAATTGATGTATGTTGGAGATATTAAAGAGACTAATTTTAAAAGGTTTTAGCGACAGTGGAAGAGAAGCGAGAATCAAGCTCTGATACCAGTTAATACAAGACAAAGGAGATGCAAAGGAAAAATAAATGTGCAACATTCTTAAAAATATACTAAAATCTCTCTTAAATAGAAAGACGTTAAAAAAAGTTCAAGTTTTTCAGTTTTTGCCAACTTAATTAATATTATAAAATACGAAAGTACTGAACCAATTAAGTATAAAATTAAAAAGCTTAAAAAATATTAACTTGATATAGTTTTAAAAAAATTCTCTCCATCATAATTCGTAGTAAAATTTTAACACAAAATATATGTTAAAAAGTGTCTAATTAATTTTAATTGGCATTATAAATCATATTTACCAGATGTATTCCCCAGCCTGCGCCTTTCAATTCTAGAATAGTACACTATCTAAGTTTCACATCCCGTTCAAAATATAATATATAATACTTCAGGGAATGTCAATACTCCATTTCATGTCTTCTACTCAGAAAAAGCAACATCACCTCAAAATGAGGAGCCTACATAAGGATTAATGTAAAAATAATCATGAAAGTGCTTGGCACTTCACACATGCCTTCTTAGAGTTGCTAAAAGTATAGTGAACAGCTTCAGAAATCTGTCTTTCAAGTGCTCTACACGTGATTCAAGCTTGCCATATTTCCTCTGAAAAATTAAAGAAGTAAAAGAATATTGGATATGGATATGTGTGCGTTAATATATATTATGCATTATTTTTAAAAATAATTTAAAATTTTTACCCGAAAATCTATAGGCCAACTCTTACGGTGAAAATATAAACTTCTGTTATAACGTACCAGGTCAGCAATATTATTCAAATAACAAAGTATTCTTCGACCATCATTATCATCTGTCTAAAACAAATTCTTGAACAATGGATCCTTGGTATCCCACCATGGACCTCTCTCGACCCTAATAAGTTCGCGCCACTCGTTATTATGATCATTAAAAGTCTTTATGTTTTTTCCTTTTTGGCATAAGAAGTCACTAGCCACGCATAGAAGCCTCAATGATTTTTCGGGACTCCAAAATAAGGAATGTAATATGTTTTCATTCATTGCAATCCCAAAAACCATTAAAACACAATTGATTTTGTCGGTCAAATTCTATACAAATCAAACAAATTCAAAACCACATCACATATATACCTAGTATCAGTATTTAATTTTATCATCTCCTCAATCACGCTTCTAAACTCATCGTTGTTTGGGAGTCCAATCTAATATTCCCTTTGACCTTCTAGGATATCTTTTTGAAGCAACTTCCCTTCCCAATCAAGTGGTTCTGAATAAAAACTTATGAAAGCAAACAACCTAAGTTGAACACATCAAAATTAGAATCTTGTGCTGTTAAATCCGGCTCTTATTGAGCAAGGTCACGCCATGTCGAAGGCAGCGTTAGTTCCCTAAATTGCTTAGGAGCTCGTCACATATAGCCTAGCCCATCACTCCTTCATATAACTGTTTGTATCATAAAAGTATCTTAATTATTAGTCAATGCAATTAAATGTATAAAAGGAAATTTATTGTTGTACTACTTACAGATATAGTTAGTTCTACTAGACTCATCCGGCTTGGGTTGTCATATCGATTTGCAAAATCACAAATCTTGACAATAACATACTCATCTTCTCATAGCAGTATTGTAACATTTCACGAATTCAGAATTCAAAACAAACAAAATTGATTTTAGAATGTTTATGCAAGTAGAGGAGAAGTAGAAATTTCGGTCCGATACCAACTAATGCAAGATGGATGAGATCAAAACAAGTTTTTGAAATGCTTGTGCGAGAGTTGAAGTAAAAAAAAATAAAGAAAATGTGACTTTGATACTAATTGATGTATGTTGGAGATATTAAAGAGACTAATTTTAAAAGGTTTTAGCGACAGTGGAAGAGAAGCGAGAATCAAGCTCTGATACCAGTTAATACAAGACAAAGGAGATGCAAAGGAAAAATAAATGTGCAACATTCTTAAAAATATACTAAAATCTCTCTTAAATAGAAAGACGTTAAAAAAAGTTCAAGTTTTTCAGTTTTTGCCAACTTAATTAATATTATAAAATACGAAAGTACTGAACCAATTAAGTATAAAATTAAAAAGCTTAAAAAATATTAACTTGATATAGTTTTAAAAAAATTCTCTCCATCATAATTCGTAGTAAAATTTTAACACAAAATATATGTTAAAAAGTGTCTAATTAATTTTAATTGGCATTATAAATCATATTTACCAGATGTATTCCCCAGCCTGCGCCTTTCAATTCTAGAATAGTACACTATCTAAGTTTCACATCCCGTTCAAAATATAATATATAATACTTCAGGGAATGTCAATACTCCATTTCATGTCTTCTACTCAGAAAAAGCAACATCACCTCAAAATGAGGAGCCTACATAAGGATTAATGTAAAAATAATCATGAAAGTGCTTGGCACTTCACACATGCCTTCTTAGAGTTGCTAAAAGTATAGTGAACAGCTTCAGAAATCTGTCTTTCAAGTGCTCTACACGTGATTCAAGCTTGCCATATTTCCTCTGAAAAATTAAAGAAGTAAAAGAATATTGGATATGGATATGTGTGCGTTAATATATATTATGCATTATTTTTAAAAATAATTTAAAATTTTTACCCGAAAATCTATAGGCCAACTCTTACGGTGAAAATATAAACTTCTGTTATAACGTACCAGGTCAGCAATATTATTCAAATAACAAAGTATTCTTCGACCATCATTATCATCTGTCTAAAACAAATTCTTGAACAATGGATCCTTGGTATCCCACCATGGACCTCTCTCGACCCTAATAAGTTCGCGCCACTCGTTATTATGATCATTAAAAGTCTTTATGTTTTTTCCTTTTTGGCATAAGAAGTCACTAGCCACGCATAGAAGCCTCAATGATTTTTCGGGACTCCAAAATAAGGAATGTAATATGTTTTCATTCATTGCAATCCCAAAAACCATTAAAACACAATTGATTTTGTCGGTCAAATTCTATACAAATCAAACAAATTCAAAACCACATCACATATATACCTAGTATCAGTATTTAATTTTATCATCTCCTCAATCACGCTTCTAAACTCATCGTTGTTTGGGAGTCCAATCTAATATTCCCTTTGACCTTCTAGGATATCTTTTTGAAGCAACTTCCCTTCCCAATCAAGTGGTTCTGAATAAAAACTTATGAAAGCAAACAACCTAAGTTGAACACATCAAAATTAGAATCTTGTGCTGTTAAATCCGGCTCTTATTGAGCAAGGTCACGCCATGTCGAAGGCAGCGTTAGTTCCCTAAATTGCTTAGGAGCTCGTCACATATAGCCTAGCCCATCACTCCTTCATATAACTGTTTGTATCATAAAAGTATCTTAATTATTAGTCAATGCAATTAAATGTATAAAAGGAAATTTATTGTTGTACTACTTACAGATATAGTTAGTTCTACTAGACTCATCCGGCTTGGGTTGTCATATCGATTTGCAAAATCACAAATCTTGACAATAACATACTCATCTTCTCATAGCAGTATTGTAACATTTCACGAATTCAGAATTCAAAACAAACAAAATTGATTTTAGAATGTTTATGCAAGTAGAGGAGAAGTAGAAATTTCGGTCCGATACCAACTAATGCAAGATGGATGAGATCAAAACAAGTTTTTGAAATGCTTGTGCGAGAGTTGAAGTAAAAAAAAATAAAGAAAATGTGACTTTGATACTAATTGATGTATGTTGGAGATATTAAAGAGACTAATTTTAAAAGGTTTTAGCGACAGTGGAAGAGAAGCGAGAATCAAGCTCTGATACCAGTTAATACAAGACAAAGGAGATGCAAAGGAAAAATAAATGTGCAACATTCTTAAAAATATACTAAAATCTCTCTTAAATAGAAAGACGTTAAAAAAAGTTCAAGTTTTTCAGTTTTTGCCAACTTAATTAATATTATAAAATACGAAAGTACTGAACCAATTAAGTATAAAATTAAAAAGCTTAAAAAATATTAACTTGATATAGTTTTAAAAAAATTCTCTCCATCATAATTCGTAGTAAAATTTTAACACAAAATATATGTTAAAAAGTGTCTAATTAATTTTAATTGGCATTATAAATCATATTTACCAGATGTATTCCCCAGCCTGCGCCTTTCAATTCTAGAATAGTACACTATCTAAGTTTCACATCCCGTTCAAAATATAATATATAATACTTCAGGGAATGTCAATACTCCATTTCATGTCTTCTACTCAGAAAAAGCAACATCACCTCAAAATGAGGAGCCTACATAAGGATTAATGTAAAAATAATCATGAAAGTGCTTGGCACTTCACACATGCCTTCTTAGAGTTGCTAAAAGTA